CAGAACTGCTTTGAAATGCACATTTTATCAAGTGTGTTGACTAAGATCATAAAATGAGTCTTGATTAATGTAAATGAAATAAAAGTATATAGCATGTTCTTAGAACACAATAAAATAAGTTCAGGGCTGGGGTTGTAGCTCACTGGTAGAGCACTTGCCTAGCATGTATGTGTGAGGCACTGGTTTTTATCCTCAGCACCATGTAAAAATAAATAATAAAATAAAGGTATTGTGTTCCTCTACAACTTAAAAAAATTAAAAAAAAATAAAACAAATTAGAATCAATAACAATAAGAAGTTTAGGAGAAAACAAAGATTTAGAAATTGAACAACATATACCTAAATAATCATGGGTCAAAGAAGAAATCACAAGTTGAATTCGAAAATACTATGAACTAAAAAAATAACCAAAATACAATATTTCAGTTTTTATGGAATGTAGCTAAAGGAGTAGAGAGAAATTTATAGCTTAAAATCTTTATGCTATACAAGAGAAATATCTAAAGTCAATGATAAACCTTGAAAAGTTTTCACCTTGAAATGCTAAATGATCAAGAAAATCAGAGAAAGAAGATAAATTGGTAATATCAGAAATAAATGAGAACTTACCAATACAGATGTCACAAAATTAAAGGGATTATATTAGATATTTTAAAATTAAGAATGTTATGAATAATTCTATGTGCCAAATTTGCCAATCTAGAGAAAATTTATAAATTCCTTGAAAAAAACAATTTATCAAAATTCACATAAGGGGGAAAAACAGAAAATGTGAGACATATGTTTATAAGGTTGATTTTGTAGTCAAAAGCCTAAACTAAACCTAAAGCTAAAGCCATAAACCTTTTGGAAAATAAACTTGAAAAACTTCATGACTTGAGTATGCTTTCTTGAGCCAGGTTTTCTTATGCAGGTTACATAAAGCAATGACCCTAAAAGGAAAAAGTATTCAAGAAATTAAACCTCACCAAAATTCAGAACTTCCATGCATTAAAACATACCAAAGAAAGTTTACAGCAAACCAGTCTTCTGAAAATAGTTTCATATCTGACAAAGGACTAGCACCTGAATACATATCCCACAATTCAATAATAAAAAGACAAACCACCCATTTAAAAAAAAGTGGCAAAATGTTTTGAACAGATTCTTCAGAAAAGATATATAACTGGTCTTAACATAGCACATGAAACGATGCTCATCATCATTAGTCATCAGGAAAAATGCAAGTCCAAACCACAGTGAGTTACTAAAAGACAGCATCAGAATAGCTCAAATTGAAGATGCTGGCCAAGATGTGGAACAAATGGAACTTTTAGTGGGAGAGAAAAATGGCTCAAACATATTGGAAAAAATTTTGGTAATTTGGTATAAAACTAAAGACATACTTACTCTATGATCTAGAAATTCCAATCCTAGACTACCTTAGAGAAAGAAATCATGTCCACAAAAAGCCTTCTACACAAAGTTTCTTAGCAATTTTATGCAAAAAAAAAAAAAAGTTACCACTAGGGAAAGTCCTGAAGCATATCATGTTGAAAATGGGTGAATGAGTGGGTTCATGGGTGGATGGGTGGGTGGGTGGACGGGTGGATGGGTGGATAGGTGAGTGAATGGATGACTGAGTGGATGGTTGGATGGATGGGTGGAAGGTGGGTGGATAGGTGGATGGATGATGAATGGATGAATGAGGAGGTGGGTGGGTGGATGAGTAACTAAATAAATGAGTGAATAAATAAATGAACTTATTTTGACTGTTTTTTTTAAATTAACTCTATACAAACTTCCAATAACCAGTTAAAACACAGTCTTAGAAAAAAAGCAGTGGCAAGTGTACTGTTCAGCCCAGAGCTTTCTGATTTCCAAAAAGGATAAATGTCATGAAAGACCGTGAGCCTTGCTGGACCTTGTCTTGCCTCACCACTTATCAACAGTGACAGGTGTCAAGCATGGTGAGATATTTTAGGAATTAAATGTACACAACAGCACTTCCTGTCCCAGTGCCACATTTATGTAATAAAAATTCCTCTCCAAGCCAGAACTCTCATGCCACACACTTCAGAAAAGCACAGGCAGTTAAAGTCTCCACTTCCCTGCCCCCTGATCCCCTGGGGAGCACTTCAAGGAATGACCGAGGAGGGCTGAACATGGGCTGGGAGACGGGTCCACGCTCTCTTGGCCCACCTCATTTACATCTCACACAGCCCCCAGCGGAGGACACGGAGGTGCCCGCTTCATAAGCATGGCAGCCGTCCAAGCTGGGCTCCACCCATGCTCCCACAACACCTGCACCCCTTCTGCCTGGGTCTTGACGTACTTGACCTTGCTGCGCAGACGGCATAGTGCTGGTGACTTCTCCAAGGGGAGCCTGCTTCCCAGAGGTGCCGTGCAAGGGGGGCCACTCCTCATGGTCAGACTCATCAGCCAGTCCCTCTGACACCCCTCTCGAGTGCAGCCAGCCCTATAGGGGTGGGGAAAGGGTGATGATAGGGACGGAGAGCTTGTAACTGTCACCCCACCCCAACTGTGGGGGGCTGGAGTGAGTGTCTTGCCTCACCACTAACTTATTTGGAAGGACCCCAATGGAGGAAGAGGCCAGCATGGGCTATGGGGGTCAGGGACACAAGGAACACCTTTGGAGGAAAGCTGTGGGTGTACCCAGGCCACCTTCAGGAGGGTGGCAGCCAGCACTGGGCCCCTGGAGACCTGAAGGTTCTAGTCCTGGCCCTTCCTGCCACATCCTTAGACCTAGGAAGTGCAGGCAAGAAGGACAGGGGAGACCCCGAGTCCAGGTCCTCGTTCCAGCCAGGGGGGGAGGCAGGGCATGCCGGGGGCCAGTGCGAGGGCCAGGCAGAGGACAGCAGGCTGGGAGTGGTGACTCAGCAGAGGTTAAGGGATGTGTCTGAACAGCGCAAAGCCTGTCTGCAGGGTCACGGCGGCTCCTCTCATGGGAACCTCCATAGCTCCTAACCCCATGACCCAGGCCTGCAGGGCTGGTCACCCTTAAGTGGAGGCCGGGAGGCTGGGTGGGCTCCACAGCAAAGCAGGCTCACTGGGGTTCTCCAGCGCTCCCCAAGTGGCACATATCCTGTCTGAGACACCATTTCCAGGGACTCCAGCTGGGTGCAGAGAGCTCCCAGGACTGCTCAGACAGTTCCCCAAGCCACGGCCTCTCCTGGTGGCTGCCCCGAGGCCTTCCCTCACCACCTGGCAGGGGCCTGTGGGTGCTCTCGTTCTCTTGCCTTCTCACCAGGCCTTAGTCAGGGATCTTCAGAGGACAACCCTAGGGTGTGTCTGCAGGTAGACACAGACCGACAGGTTCATTCTAAGGAACTGACGCAGGTAAGCATAGCGGCTAGCAAGTGTGACCTGACTTTGGCAGGGCAACCGGCAGGCTGGGCATGCAGGGGAGAGCCGATGCCAGTGCCAGGCCACCAGGAGGCAGAGCTGCTTGTACCCCACAGAGCTGGGTCTTCTGGGAACGCAACTGGTTGGATGAAGTCCACCCACCTCGGGGAGCCGTTTGCTTCACTCAAAAGTCTCCTTGTTGAAATGCCAATCTCACCTTTGAGAAAAGGACCTTCACAGTGCCAGACAGATCAGTGCTGGACTGAACACCTGTCTCCCACATAAAATCACCAGTCACACACCACATTGTAACTGACCCATTTCCACGCTGCTCTCTGAACAGGACTCCTGCCCTCAAGATGCCCTCTGTTTTGTAAGGATGGTAAGGTCTAGTGCAGCTCATGGCCCCGGTCAGCAGCCCAGAGGCTGTCTGTTAAGTTAGCAAGTGCCCCATCTCACTGGGCAATATAAACAGCCAGCATTATTTATTTATTTACTCAGGGCCTCTCTAAGTTGCTAAGGCTGGTCCTGAACTTGTGATCATCCTGCCTTGGCCTCCTGAGTAACTGGGACTACAGGCGTGTGCCACCAAGCCCAGCTTGGCCAACGTTTGTAATGTGTGCATTGAGGACTCAGAAATGGGATTCTGGCAGGGCAGGACGCTCTTAGTACCACACTGTGCCTGTGGTTAAGTCTGGATCATGTGACAAAGAGAGTCTGAAGTTTCAAAACTTGGCTCAACTCCAGAACGTTCTGCTAAGTGCATGACTCCTAAACACACCATTTCCAGAAAGGTGCTTGGGCCTGCTTGGGTTAGTACTGATCCACGACAGAGTCTAGAATGGCACCCGGCACAAGGTGTGCATTCAGCGACTAACTAACCAGTCCTGCGATGCGTTGGCAGAACGAGGAGATGAGGGAGGCAGGGATGGGGAGGCTGGTCGAGCTCTCCCACGTCTCGGCCGAACTCTCCACATTGTGAATGGGCTGACCAAGGCGTGGGGTTGCTGAAATAGCAGGTCCTTGGTCCTCAAACGGACCTGGGTTCAAATCCCAGCTTTGACGCTGCCGGTGAGACCCTAGGTAAGCGGCCCTTCTTGCATGTAAAATGGAAATACTGATAGTTGCTTAAAAGGACAAGAACACCTGGCCTTCAGCAGGTGATTGAAGCAATCGTGGCCCAAGGGAATGGCTGAGTCAGCGGGACAGGCCAGGACTTGCTGGAGGGACGCCTTCTGCTTTGTCAAAGCCCCTGCCCCCTTGTAACTGTCACAGCCTCTCACCTGAGACAGTCAAGGATCACCAACACAAACTCCCCAAACAACAAATGCCCCTGGAAAGAGCTGCCTTTGCGATAAGTCTGAGGAGCTTCCCCGTTTCCCCCCTGAGGTCTGCAGGGCGACGTGGTGTTATCAATCGTGAAATAATCACCTCCGTGATTCCCTGACGCAGGGGCAACTCGATTTTCAAAGTAACATCACACCAGATCCAAAGGAGACCTTTCAGACTTCCTTCCACGTTTCAGATCTGTCAAGTTGAAACCTCTAGTGCCCAGGCGAGCACGAGGACAACCCACGGGACACAGGTGCGCTCAAGCCCGGGCTCTGGGTGGCTGCGTCGGGTGGGTGGGTTGTTGAAATGCGCCAGATTCTTACCTTTCCAAAGCTCCCTTTACCAATGGCCCGCAGGATCTGAAAGTGGTCAAAGCTGACTGCAAAAGAGAAAGAAAAGAGGAACCAGTCAGGCTTCAAGACCTGTTCCCCCTCCAGGGCCTTGGCCTGTGCCCGCGGCTTCCTGAGGGGCTTCTGTTCCCACCACGCTCCCTGCCCCAGGGCCCTCCACCCTTCAAGGGGCTCCCGAGCTACCGGGCCCCTTCCATTTCTCCCCACACACTGTTGACATGCGGTTAAGCTCTCACCAGCGGCACGCAGGATGGCCATGTCTTGGGGGCCCAGGGGAGGACAGAAAGTGCTGGCTCTCTGGTTTTCAGACTCTGGTACATGCTGCTCCCTTCTCTGGGAAGACCTTTCCCCACCCTGGCCCCCAGGCCAGTGTCCCTGCAACAGGTGCCACCACTTCATGGCCCGTTCCTGTCTGTCTAACCCAGCACTGTGGCCACTGGCGGACGGACGCTGTCCACACCATCCTCCTGCAGTGTTCTGTCACGCACCTCCCCTCTGCCATCCCCCCCCTAGACAGGCCCCACATTCTGCTACTTGTACACCCTCATTCCTCATCCTGCTCCGACTGGCCTCTACCCATCCCCACACCACAACAGGTGAGCAGTGACCCCCAGACCCCCGAGCTGTCCTCCTGGTACTGACCACTGCCCGCTTGGCTTCCTTGGCAGTACACCCAGTGGTCCCCTTTGCGCCTGGCCTTGCCTTATCTGCCGGGTACCAGATGCCCCCTCTGTCCACACTCTGTCCTCCTTCCTTCCTTTCCTCGTGGTGTCTGACCTTTAGGCTGTGTGGCCCGGTGCCTACGCCCACCTCCTCGGAGGCCGAGACCCTCCACCCCAGCAGGGGCGCAGACCCAGGAGGGCGCAGGGCATCCCCGGCGGCTCAGGCGCAAAGCCTGGAGCCCCTCCTCACCAGCGTCCTGTCCTCATTCTGTCCTGTGTCAGGTTGGGTCCACGTGGCCTCTTCCCAGTGCCCACATCTGTGCACCCCAGAGAGCCCCTCTGGTCTAAGCCACCTTTGCCACTTGCACCAGGGCAGTGGCCTCTCAAGGTCCCTTCGGCCTCTACCAGCTGGGACACGTGCGCCGGGCAGAGCGCTGCTGCTCTGCTCACCCTCCCCGGCCTCCACTCAGTGGAAAGAGCAGACTCCTGTCAGGGCTGCTGCGGGGACCCAGGTGCCTCTCCCCCTGCCTTCCCACCGCGCCCCACAGCCTGGGCTCCAGGCAGGGTCTCCTCCTCGCGGGAACCACCGCCCTGTGCCTCTGCCACACGCTCCCTCCTCTGCGTCCCAAGAAGGCTGCAGTCCCCCCAGGAGCCCACAGGCCCTCAGGACACCCTCTCGCAGCACCGCAGAGGGAGCCATGGCCCATGTATCTGGTGAAGCTCACCTTCCCCGTGACCCCAAGGCCCTGAGGTCAAAGGCCGTGCTTGTTTTGTTACTGTCCCCAGGACCCAGCGCAGTGCTGGGACCACAGTCCCCAACACACATTCATTAACTCAGGAAGCACTGACTCAGCTCATCTCCGTATTGTGCATGGTAAGAGTCTGGTAAATATTTCTGATTGAGACTGAATTGCAGCCAGTTTCCAATAACTAGGAAAGATGAAGGCATGGACTGGTCAGCGCGGGAGGGAGGCAAGGTGTGGCGAAGGAGGGGAGCACAATCAGGTCCCCGTCTACGAGGCTTCGGCGATGGAGGTCTTCATGGTGAATGGTGTCTGTGCCGAGCCAGAGTCAGAGCCCAGCGAATGCCAGCCTGGTGCCCAGCACAGACGCGGGTTAACGGTTAACCCAGAGGACCTTGCTGCCTTGACCTGGATTTGTTTACCTTCAGAATAATTTGCCAGAAGAAATTCCTCACCCTCACCTCTTACTCACTCACCAAGGGTCAGGGGAAAGGAAGGACGCGGAGCCCGGCCTGCAGCTCCTGGTGTGACCAGCAGACCCACTTCCTTCCAGTGAGCCCCAGGTCCACAGGCGGCACAGCCACCTTGTTAAGGACCCTGCTGCCGCAAGCTGTGGTGACTGCTGGGACCCTGTCTGGAAGGCCAGCCCTCCCCGCCCTCTCTGGGGACCCGTGTGGCCGCGACGTGCTGCCCAGGGGCTTGCCATCTTGGGGAGCTTCTCCCGCACCTGCAAACCACGCCCTCCTGGGAGTATCCTGGGGCTTTCCCAGCTGTCCAGCCAGACGGCTAAGGCCACGACCCACGTGGCCACACTCGCTAGGTCCATGGACGAGCCACCCGGCCCTGTGTGCCTCAGTCATCCTCCTGTAAAACAGGAGCAAGGGCTTCTGCCTTCACAGAGCGCTCAGGACAGGCCAGCACGCCGCCCCTCTCCCCAGGCACGAGCTCTCTGTTTGGGGATGAGAAACGTGGCTCCCTCTACTCTGGTGTCCTGGGGTGGGGGGAGACTTCCCCAAACACGTGTGGCCTCCTGCTCCATCAAGTGGTATGAGCTACCGGCACGGAGCTGGTGAGGGACTGCAGGGGTTCCCACGCACCCCCGGCCCTGCCATTGCTGAGAGCCACGGCTGAGTCTGTATGGCCCCTGGCATTTTGCCAACAGTATTGATTGACAGGCGAGGCATTACTATCCGCCTCTGCCGCAACTTTTGAGTTCTCGCACTATTTTGGAGTTCTCGCGGGGATTTCCGGGGATTCCCCGAGAGTTCCCATTGGTTGGGGAAGTGCAGGAGGAGGGATTTCCGGGAGAGATAGTTCCGGCTGGGGGTTCCTGGACAAGCCTCGTGGCGCGTTCGGGAGGATTCCCCGGGAGCTGTGTGAAGTGTTTTCCTGCAGTTTAAAAATAAAGTTTGTTCCTGCTTCAGTGGCTCGTGATTTGTGCCCAGCCAGACTGCGGCATGCCATGGCTCTGTCTGTCTCCATCCTGCAGAAGTGGGTCAGGGCCACCACGAGGAGCCGGCCGTGGGGTCCAGACTTGCCTCTGCAGGTGGGCGGGGCCAGCCACCTCCGGCTTCCATGCAAGGTGAAGGGAGCCCTGGCTGCTGCCCTCCTGGTCTGTCCCCCAACCCAGCCCTGAGCCTCCCAGATGTGACACTCGGGTCTCCACCCACCTCCTCTTCCGTCTTGTCTAGGAACAGGCAGGTGTTGGGCGTTAGCAAGAAAACAGTTAAAGGCCAAAGCCGCTATTATTTAATACGCAGTAGTGGATGGATCATGTGGTGAGTGTCCCCACCCATCCACGCGGGTTCCTGGGGGGACTCTAACCTAACAGGGGAAAAAGGGTTCTGGATTGATGCTTATTTGCTGGTTTAGCTACGTTAGTGTAAATGACTTCGAGCATGTGGCTGAAAGTGGCATCTCCCTGGGACCTGGCATGCTGATACGCGCACCACAGGCCTAGAGAACACTGGGAACTAGTGAAGGCCACCTGGTGGGTGACGGTTGGGAGAGCCAGAGGCGAGTCCTAGAAATCTCACCGTCATGTAGGGTCGTTGGCTTAGACCAGGAGGGGACGGCCAGGTAGTAGGTCAGAGTCACTCTCCAGTGACCCTCCGCCCTGCTCTGCCTGGAACCTTCTAGGTCAGCCTGGAGGTCCTGCATCCCTGGAACCCCTGGTCTGGGGAAGGGGCAGCTGGTCACTACTAACTGTGGCACCTGACACTGACGCAGCCCTGCAGGGCTGGGGGTGACGGGGATGCTGAGGTGCGTTCTGGAGCAGAACCCTCTGCACCTCCAGACGTGTGCGGTCACCAAGCGTGACTCCCTAAGCGTGCCCCCGAGTGGAAACGGGCAGAGCCGAGGGCGCCAGCAGCCTCACCCCACACGTGGGAACTGTCACAGCTGCCCTGAGAGCCGCCCTAGGCACCGTGAAGGGGCACCTGGGCCCTGACTGTTCACCACATACCGGGCTCTCTGCTCGGCCAGGCGGACCGGCCTTTCCTCTGGACCCTCAGCTCTATTTGGCACCCGAGAGGCCAGCCCCAGCAATGGGATGTAACCCAGGAACCCAGTGGGACCCTCAGGCTCACCTGGAGCCTCGTGAGGACAGGTGGGTGGGCCCCAGGTCCCTAGCTTCTGGGGAGGGCCAGAGAATTTTCATTTCCAGCCAAGGTCCAAGGCAATGCTGAGGGAGCCACACTGTGAGAACCACTGACTAGTCAATCTGGACACTCGAGTTCCCCACATTACCAGCCACTTCCACAGCCAACAGCGACCTTGTAGCCAGACCTCATCAGTGACAGCTAAGCAGAGCACTGTTGGAGATATTCTAGGAAGCATTTTTTGCTGATGAGAGAACAGATACACCTGAGTGGCCCTTTAACCTTCCCACTTTTCCTGCCCTGAATGTGACTGCCCTGTCAGTTCCTTTCTGAGCCATCTGGAGCTGCAGCAGCCATCTTGAGACTGAGAAGCAACATACACAGAGGCAGAGAGGTCACTCCTTGTGGTGAGCCTCTGTGCCAGGCCAGCAGCTCCTGACCTCTGCACGCTCTAGGTTAGAAAAAGACAGCCTTCCTATTCAATGAGTCAGGTGAGCCATTGCCAGAAGCATTTCTTCCTGACCCTCAAGCCCTGGCACATAGAAAGGGCTTTGTAAACGCTACTTTACTGTGGAATTTACAGCTCCTTTGTGATTTTACTTCAGGCAAAAGAACAGGAGTTGTTTGGGGCATGAGTACAGGGCCGGGTGCCTGGATTCGGATCACCAGCTGGGTGACCTTGGGGAAGTTGCTTAATCTCCCTGGGCCTCAGCTTCCCCTTAATGATGTACTCATTATTGGACGTGAAACACCCCCTGGTGTGGCTGCTGTGAAAGGTCAAGAGGTCGGCACAAGCAAGGTGTGCGGGGCCTGAGCCAGTGGCTGCGGGCGGTCACCCTCCTGTCAGGTCCATTCTCAGTGGTCCCCCTCACCTCCCCCGACTGATGAAACACTGGCCTGATGACGTCACAGGAAGGACCAGGTGAGGACAGGGAGGCCCACCAGGGCCAGCTGCCACTGCTGTGAGCATGGCTGGCTGAACCCACGCGCAGGCCGAGGCCTCTCCCCCCACCTCCTCCAGGCC